AGATAAGATGTAGGCCTAAATAGCTAAACTAAACAGCTGTTTTAGATAGAAGTTTTGAACGAACGACTGAAACAATCAGTTTGCAAAGTATCAATCAAAGCTCAGCTTTGGGAAAGAAAATAGCTACAGGTCAAGAGAAGCATACTGTGCCCATGAGATTAACATTATGGATTCCTATTTAACACAGATATACTGTGTGTTTTTTAGCTAATTACAGTGGATATAAGCTCAATTTAACAACACACGCACCTATTAAACATATTGCCATTATTATTGTATAAATATAGGCTAGGCTATATTTGTGTGCAGAATAGGCCTAATCCTTGAAACATTTCTCATTTAAGGCCAAATTCCTGTTTGGAATATGTGATTGTGTTTTGATGTAGCCTACATGTGAACAATAATCATATACATTCTGCATTTCCATTTTGTATGTGGATCATTTATTGTAAAATGTAAACTGTCATCTTGACAAAACAATGTATGCCATTGCCCACTGACATGCTTCTAAAGCTATAGTTATCCAATTTTGGGGCCTTAAAAAACCTTAAAATGCACATGTGTAAATCAAGAACATTAAAAATTCCTCGGGGGTGGGATCCTAAGTGATCCCTAGCAAGATCACTTTCGGGACCTCAGCAGGCTATTTAGAAATTCCTGCATAGGACCCTGGGTGGAGACCATTTGTGCAAAAATATTTCATTAGCCGCTCACACATTAACTTTGTGCTCAATCACTGTTATAAATATGAGAGGAGTCCTTGGGAATGTTTTTCCCCTGTAAGGGGTCCCTGGCTCCAAAATGTTTGAGAACCCCACTTCGCTCATGGTCCACTCAGGGTTTTCAATTCCCGCTCACGGAAAAACTAACATGTAAAAAGACGCTTACAAGTAAACATATTTTTTTTAATAGTTGGTTGGGATGAGTAACTGAGTATTTAATTATAGAATATCAAATAGGTTGTGCGATTATTCTAAAAAAAAATTCTGTCAGTGTCGGCTCACTCGGCTGGAAAGATGAAGTTGACGATGCTGACTCGCGATCTTCGCAGTAGTGAACGCGCCAGAGAGAAATGCACTTTTCATACGGATTACATAAGCAGAGAGCAGTCTGTTTTCTTTCGTTTTGAATTGTTCTGTTTAAAAGTAGACATTTCAATATAGATGTATTTCTCAGGTCTGTGAGGCAAGTAGGCTACCCTATATGCTGAGTTTCGGTTCGTTTATGAGACGAGCTCCAGTTCACGCGCCGGCGCCTCCGTGTCGTGATTATCTAATGTCTGCTATATTTACTTCTTATTTATTAAATCCAGGTAATTGGTTGATGAAACATTGATTAAAATTAAGACACAATTAATACAAAACGAAATTCACTTTAAAGGCTTTGTGCTTTCTGTTTGAGGTCTCTGTGAAAGTTTTAGTGCCGCTTCCAGAACTGTCACGTCCGTAACATTGTTTTTTCCTCATAAATCCTCAAAAAATAATTTGTGTGAGAGACAGAACAAAACTTTTAGCTTTGTTTGTCTGAGTCTGAGTTGGGCGTCCCTGGGATAGTCCAATAGTAGTTAACCTCTAATTTTCAGTTTCTGTCTCCATCTAATGCTGTCTTCTCTCCCCCTTTCGCCCCTCTCTCTGTCGATCAATAGCTCAAGCTACTGCTGCGTTCCAGGCGCGATACGCTGATATCTTTCCCACTAAGGTGTGCTTACAGCTCAAGATCCGTGAGGTCCGGCAAAAGATCATGCAAACAGCAGCTCCGTCGGAATCGGCTGGCATTTCAGATCTTTCCTCGTTACCGGGGCCTTCTGGGGTGGCGATCAGTGACATGGCTGTGGGGGCAGACCCTCAGGAAAGAGATGTGGAGCGAGAGCGGGAACAGAACAGCCCGGAGGAGCCCAGAAACGCTGGCGATTCACAGGACTCTACCAGATGAGGTTGACGGGCAGACGGATGGCTTGAAGACCAGATGTCTCCCCTCAACGTCTGCATGATCTACATTTGTTGTCTTGTCTCTGCTATGACCGACTGCGAAGGACATAGAGAGAAAAAGCAAGAGCAAAATTTTCATGTCTATGGAGAAGATGAGGGGAGACGCCTCAAAACACTTTGGGGTTTTGAAACTTTTCAGTATTTTACATGACATTGAATTATGAAAACTTAACATTTGACACACGCAAACACTTGCCTACATAAACACAGACACTCTTGAATTTACAGCATTATCCTAGTCATTAGGCTTCCTTTGGACTTTGAAACTAGTGGGCCTGTCCTATATGCCAGTGAAGTCACAGTGCTGCTGATCTCTCTAGAAAGGCGGGATGTATGAGGGCACCCAATCCATTTTCAGACTGAGTTTTGTTCATATGGCCTGATTGGCAGTAGTTTGGCCACATAGTAGTTTTTTTTGTTGTTATTGGTTCGTGGGTTACTGCAGGTCATTGTGAGGCGGGCCTCCATTGACTGAGTTTAAGTGATAATGAAGACTTGGACTTTTATTTTTGATATTTTGTGTTCTTATTTCTTCTGTGGTGTTTTAATTTTGAAGACATTTTTAACGGAGAGCTTTGTTAAGGCACTGAAAACCTTTGGAGAGGGACTCTGAACTGTGTGCTGCCATTTGGAAACCTTTCGTCCTATGATTGGCTTTAGTGGTTGTCAATCAAACTGGAGTCATTCCAAAGCCTCTGATTGGCTAGCCATGAAGGAAAAGGTCATGGAAGGGAAGTCAACAGGCACATTATTGCCATTGATTTATGTTTTTCCATATATTAAGAGATTCCACATATTTAAACATTTCTTTCCTTGCCTTTTTTATTCAACTTTTCATGAGCTGGTGAAGCACAGAGCAATGAGAATGTTGGGAATATATTCTTGAAAATTTACCATAAGAATTTTATTAACTTTTTAGAGAAGAAACTTGATTTTTCAAAAAGTAATGCTACAGGTCATTATGTTATAAAACTATCTCTCATTATTACTGTTCTTATTAATGCTTTGTTGTTCTTGTGGATCTGATCCTTATAACCTATATATACACTGTATTCCTATTAATATACTCTTTCTTTAGCAGAAACAGAGGGATGAGTTCACCCTCTTCCCTCACTCCTAGAGGCACTTCCACTACCTTTTTTTAAACATTTTTCTTTATCTTGGTATTCACGCTTTATTTCTTACCAGGAATTACATAGGCCTTTGATGTAAGACACTCCAAATATCTTTCTGATAGTTGTATACTTTTATTATTATTATTATTATTATTATGATAATTCATTCCATTTGCCACTTACATTCCTCCCCTTCATTCCTCCTCCCGTCACTTTATGGTTCTTTTCTCAATCACTTTAAGGCTGTAAGGTGGGACTGGGAGGCCATCAACGGTGATCTTCCCCTGCACGCTGGTCTTTGTTGTACATATATGCCGTAAGAGTCCAAAGACTCTACCATCAGAATAAAGAGCAAAAGCATCATTGGAAGGAACAAAGCCAGTAACAGGAAATAAAATTGTAAAACAAAAGGATAAATAAAGAAATATGGTTATAAACTGTTAATGCGTTACCTTGTTTTGCTGCTTTACATATCAAATAAATACTTTATACTGATAAGTTCTACATTTTAACTGTATCTCTCAGTATACAAATAAACAGATGTTCAAATAAACAGCCTCTTCTCTGTTATATGCTACACAAAAAGAGCAAGTACTAACTCTTCACTGGACAGTTTTTGGACTGGGGAAGAAGTTGAGGTTTGGAAGGCTCATAGTTCATCAAGCTATTAGATGCTTCACGTGATTTTTAAGAATAAAGGGATGATGGGTCGTGTCCATGTGCAAGTATGCTACATTGTGGGTATTTGGTGCTGTACAGGAAATCAACCTATATAGCCCATTACAGTATGGAGAGACCTTTAAAGTCTATGGGAGAGACTAATAGACGTAACATCAAAATAGATTTAAAGTTCACTCAAAAAAAGTTCATATACCTACCCTTACATTGTTCAACCTGTATGACTTTCTTTCGTCTGTGGAACAGTTATTTTTAAAGTGTGTCAGTGTGTTTTTGTTCATTCAATGAAAGTCGGCGTGTTCCCATGTTGTTTTGGCCACATTTGACTTTTGTATGAACCAAAACAGTTGAAACATTCAAGATATCATATACCTGTTCCACAGAATAAAGTCATACAGATTTGAAACAAAAAGAGGAAATGATGACAGAATGTTCAGTTTTTAACTATCCCTTTAAGGTGACATCATGGTTTCTGGTTAGTTCTGTTTACAGGAACTACACTTCCTCAAAGCAATTGCAAGCGAGACAGAGACGAACAGTTTAAGTTTATTAGCAAGACTTCTCCAAATCAGCACCATAACATTAAAAAAAGCTACAAACATTCAGTGTACAGACAGAAATGTGATGTATGTAACGCATGGGGAACCCTTTGTCCATCGCAGTGATGGTGCATAATGTCTGTCCATGATGAGCACTAACATGTTTTGTTTTCCCTCTTCCCTGTTGTTTTGTCCTTCAGCTCAATCTCGCAAGAACTGCAGGTCAGAATGTAAACTAGGAATCATTTTCAGCCGTCCTGTGGTATCAACTTGCTCCACTGTCTATGGGTGTATTTCTTTCTAAATCTGTGCCATCATGCCTTCTGTCAGAACAAGAGTGTCATCAGCAAGCCAGACTCTCCATTCCTAGTCCCAAAACAGGAGCAATTTTATCACAGACTTCAATTGCATCCTCTAAAATCAGCCGTATTTTTGTCTCAAAAAAGTCAAAACAAGGCTGAAAAATATTTGAATGGATCTATTAGAGTGGCTTTTTGAGATATACTTATTCATACATGATTCAAGAACTTCAATGGAAATCAATACAATGTCTTGAATTTGCAACACCTTGTCTTAGACGGCCTAATTCAACTTTTTTGTCTCAATGCTTGTTCTGACCCATCGGAGATTACTTGAGCTCATTTTAATCATGATATTCAAATCTCCAAGATGATGGTCACTGTTCTTTCACAACAACTGCAGGTTGTCCACAGTGATGGCCTCCATGTTGATCCCACCCTCCAGTGCAGTGTGGTACAGTTCGATGGCCTCTGCCAGGTCTCCGCTGGTCTCAATGATGGCTATAGTCTCTCCAAACTCATTACACATGATAGTGGGAGTGCCCTGAGTCTGAAACAGTGAGAAAATATAAACCATTACTTGGTGCACAAAAATTGTAACAAAATTGCACAAAGCAAAGCAAGCATACAGACCTGTGTCAGGTTAGATGTCTGTATCTGAAAGACTTGCGGCTGTCCAAGCTGGCAGAAAGATGGTATTGCTGTTGCCATGTCCATCTCAGACGCCTCCACAACAGTAACGGTTTCTGAGTTGGATTCTGCGAGCACTGCTTCTCCGCTGTGCTCCGGCTCTTGTTGCTTTTGGGAGCGAGCGTGAGTCTTCCGATGGTTCCTAAGGTTCGAAACGGTTTTGAATGTCTTTCCACATTCACCGCAAGCATGCGGCCGCTCGCCCGTGTGTGTACGCCGGTGTTCTGCCAGATGCATGCTCTGCACAAAGCCCTTCTCGCAGAACTCGCATCGGAACGGACGCTCGCCCGAATGGGTGCGGAGGTGCTCCCGCAGGTGCGTGTTCTGGCGGAAACGTTTTCCGCAGATCGCACAAGGATACGGGCGCTCGCCGGTGTGAACTCTCTGGTGTAGCGTAACGCTTGAGGCTGAGACGAACAGTTTTCCACACACCGGACAGGGATGAGACTTCCCAAGGGCGGAGTTGGAGCCTCGTGGCCGGCCGGGCCCAAGTCCGTGACTTAGCTGGTGCAGGCGAAGATTTGCAGGAGAGTTTAAGCGCTTGCCGCAAATAGTGCAATCCAGATTGGGTTTGGTCAGTGAAGGAGCGCTTTGTTGCTCGGTGTCATCTGTTGAACCCTGCTGACCGCTAACCTGGGTGTCCTGGGAGATGCAGTGCGGCTGAGTCAGGTCGGGATGCTCCTCCAGACAGTGTATGTCTCGCTGCCGCTTGCGCAAGAACCCCTCGGGACAGTGCGGGCAGGGGTAAGGTGCCGGCGACCCTGGGTGGTGAAGAAAACGATGAGCTACGAGTTTAGCAGGACGGATAAAAGTGGCAGAGCAGTCTGGACAGGGTGAGGGTGTTGCATTGCTGTGAAGATGCTGACGGTGTTGACGTAGATTTGACGACTGGCTGAAGGCTTTGTGGCAAATGTCACACCGGTACGGACGAACTCCCGTGTGTGTGAGTCCATGGCGGGAAAGATTAGCAAGAGAGGAAAAGGTCTTTCCGCATACGCTGCACTGGAACGGCCGCTCGCCAGTATGTGTGCGCAGGTGGTTTCGCAGATGGATTTGCTTTTTGAACGGTTTCCCACAGATGTTGCATTTAAAACGCCTTTCGGTCATATGAGTCGTTCGGCGATGGCGCAACAGACGGACCTGCGAGGAGAATCTTTTTTTACAGATAGAGCACGGAAACTTTGGATCTTCCTCAGCAGCAGGAGTCCTGCGTATACCTTCCTCTTCTCCCCCTCCTCCTCCTTCCACATAGGCAGTAGCTGAATGGTTTGGGTCGTCTGTCAGCATTTTCCCTCCATTTTGGTCTTGTTCTGTGTTTGAGTGTTCAGCATAAAGCCCATTCTCTGTCGGCTCTGAAGACTGGGAGACCACAGCAATACCTTCAATGAGCACAGGACCTGTGCCGCTTGACTCTTTTCTGTCATCTTTCACAGGAGGAATTGTCACCAACTGTCTTTCTTTCCTCCAAGCAGTCTCTCGTTCTCTTGCTCTCTGGATGATAGAGAGAGGAGACTGCTGTGCCAGTACAAACTGCAGATGGGAGAAAATGTTTTCTTGTTGTTAACAGTTCACATTCAGTTCCATCTTAAGGAAAGAAAAGTATAATAGGTCTGTGTAATTATTAGGTTCTGCAGTTTATGTGGATGAAACAAGTAACAGCACTAACAGTGTAAATTCGTACAAAACAAAAAAACATTCTATATTTCTTAATTTGCATCTAATTACAAATTGAAAAAAGGGAAATGCAAAGTTAGACCTTAGTGCAAGTATGCAATCATAAAAAAATGTTAATGGATGGACAATATATCTGTACAATATTGGTTATCAGCCAGATGTTTTTTATTTACAATTTTTTATTTACATATAAAAAAAAAAAAAGGAAAATCATCACCAATACTGAATATTAAATTGTAGATGCTCATTTCCTCTGTTTTCACATTTGAACTTTGACTAAGCTTTAGATCATAGATAACAAGCAATGTCATTATTTAATAATACTCTTAAATGTAATCTTTAGCAATCTATTTTTCATCCTGTACAATATAATGTGTTATATTGTAGCATTTTAACAATTGATTTTAGTTTTTAGTGTTTTATTTTTTATTTAGACAAAACAGTATAGAATTTTAATATGAGGCATTTGTCGCTTATCAGCAAAAAAATTTAAAATAATTATCAGAATATCAGTCGGGGTGACCCCGTATAGTCGAAGATTCGATAGTAGGAGCCTGATTCGACTACCAATCTCCCGGTCGAATCTTTGAAGAGGTGTTATGAAACGAGGATCATGCCACAAAATGTGCAAAGAAAGAAGCTTTTAATAAATATCTTTAGCATGCATGAATTAATCCAACCACCCCTGTGACAGATTTAAGTTTCACTTTCGATCTATGACCGACAGAGGAGGGTCTCGGCTGCAGGGATTTAAATCTTTAAAAATATCTGGGATAAGAAAATCTAAAGTGTGGATGCACACCATCAGAAAGGATATTCTCCAAGGCTGGATTTAGCATCAAGAAACCATGATCGCACTTCTGCCGGCCAACGTTAACAAGTTGGTTTTCCTCGGGACATTCTAAAATGCTTAACGTAAAAAAAGCTTTTAAAACGCTTAAAGGGCACTTTAACGTGGCTTAATATATGTACACAGTGCACACCTTATTAAGAAACCATACTATGTGCAGATAAGCAGATGAACCCAGAATATGAACGCAACGTGTTCCTCCTATAGAAAGTCACGTAGGCTAAAGCGTTTTCTTTATTTTAACGGTTTTCTATGGGAGGAAAATGCTTAACGTGTAATTAAACGCTTTACGTTCGTATTCTGGGCTCATCTGCTATTCTATAGGCTATATAGTATGCTTTATTAATAAGGTGTGTACATTAATTTGATACTTTAACTGTTTTAGGACATTAAGCCGTTAAACGTTTTTCACGTTAAGCGTTTTAGAATATATTTTATCCACGCACACAATATGAATAACTCAAACGGACAGACAGAGTGAAAGACTGGATTTTGTTTCTCGATCAGGTATGGGTAGTAGGGTACAAGTGATTTCAAAACATTTCAGCCGGTTCTAATTTGATTTTTGGATGCTGTGAACATTTTTAGCTAAAAAGACTGCCGCTCCAGTTTAGCGTTTATTGTTGTTTCTGCAGTTAAAAAGACAAAGTAGAAAATTCTGGCTACTTTGGTTATTTTAATTTTATTTATTGATCACTCAGGGTTATCTAATTTAACTATTTGTGGCTTGTGTTTTGAATATATGTTCCCCTGCACTTTAGGCATTTTGCACACATTTGGTCTGTATCTTGTGACTTGATTCTTTTTTTTTTTTTTTTTTTTTTTTTTATTAGAAAGGTATAATCTGTTCTAATTTAATTCTGCAAATTAATTGTTTGACTTGACGATTCTGATTCGACTATGAAACTCCTTAGTCGGGGACACCCCTAAATATCAGTTTTGGACAGAATTGTATTATCAGTGCATCCCAACTGCTTTTAAAGATCAAGTTCAATTTTGTGAGTGCCAAAGACAATCTAAAGGATATATAGGGGAAATATTGCCCGGTATATATCCAATATTGACCAATACGGATAAATTAGACAAATTTAATCTCTGAAAATCGACTGATAGACAACATGATGCTGATCTTGTGCATTGCTAATTTCCTAAAACTGACAATTACCTGAGAAACTGGAGTGGTCGCCTCACGTACTCGGTGAGTGCGGCGATGGTACAAGAACTTGGTCATGTTGGTGAAGGTTTTGGCACAAAATGGGCATTTGTGCAGTGGCTCAGATGTATGGGATTTCCTTAAGTGGGGAAGACAAATCAAAAATGCCATGTTTGATATGCAAATTACAAGCAAGTTATGATGTTTGGCTGTAGAGTTTGTGTGTTTTATTACCTGTGTATCATAAGAGTCATCTCTGTGGTAAAACCATGTCCACAGTCCACACACAGAAAACGTGCCTCACCAGAGTGTGTGCGCATGTGTGTCTGAAGGGACACCAACTTCTTAAACACTTTATCACACTCTGGGCACTCGTGTGTTCCTTGTTCATGCACACGAAGGTGTGCCACAAGGCGATTGGCAGAGGTGAACGTTCTTTTGCACTCCTCACACTGAAGATTGCCGGATGAGACAGACGACGTCAAACCCAAAGCAGCTGAGCGGGCAGTGTACGTGCGTCTCCCACCACTAACTTTGCCAACTTTGCTGCATTCTTCTGATCCGTCGCTTCTTCCTTCATCTTCCTTAGCCCCAGAACCGTCTTCGTACCCCACCATCACCCCAGTGTCCCCACTCTCTTTGTCCTGGCCTAAGAAGTGCTCCCCCTGGTGTTGAAGGAAATCCTCTGGTGTGCTAAACAGCAGATTACACTCAGAACACTCATAAGGATGGATAATTAAAATTTCCTCATTTTCCTTCTTTAGTGTGTTCACCTGGCCAGAGGAAGGGAGAAGGTTCAAAGTGGTCACATTGTCCAGCCGGATAGGATCGGTAGGTAAGAGAGGGGCGAGGAGTTTAGCTTTTCGGAGAGTAGCTGAGGCAGAACCGTCAGCGATGGCTTGGGCGGAACAGAACTGTAGACGGAGCATCGCAGAGGTGGAGCCGGGCAGGGAAGCGTTTGCTGGCACTAGCATAGTTCTAGGAGCGCCTGCAGTTTTAGATGGGGTTTCTTGCTCTCGTAGAGCCTGAAAAATGAAAGCAACAAAGGTAAGCTAAGAAATAGGGATCTACAACATCCTAAAACAATATAGCAATAGGCACAGACATTATCACACTGACCCTTCAGAATGAATAAGGTGGGAACAACCTGGGGCCGGATTCAAGAAATGTTTTAAGCGAATTTCGATGAATTAAGATGATGACAAACGAACGACACGGAAGAACAAAAAATAAACATACAGCACACGAGTTTATACAAGCAAGAGTTCGTTGTTAGTCGCAGCACACACACGGAAACCAATGTTACTCGCGTATGGAGCAGAGACAACCTCAGCGTCAGTTTTCAGGCCTTCAGGCCTCTCCAGCGCTAGAAAGCTTTTCTTATATTAAAAGAAAAGTCCTAAAGCTCTTGCCTGATCATAACCCTTCATTTTCCAGTGATATTCCTCTGACCTTTACTCTTTTGTAAAGTCTCTCAGCCATCTCTCTTTCTTCAAATCCCCCTCTTGCTCTCTCTCTTTCTACTCTCCCATCATGAGTGTATACGCCCCCGACAGCTGGTTTGTTGTGGTGCTCTTTCCGATCCACTTTCAACAGTGTTTTACAAAATGGCTTACTGCACCTTTACTGTACTGAAGTTCCCACATACTGTCTAAATGTCACCTTGCCACCTTGTTACACTTGTAGTGTTCCCGGTCAAAAATGACCGGCCTACAAAAAATACCTTATAAATCACTTGTTATGCTATATTATCACCCACTATTGGATGCAGACTTTTTGTCAACTTGTTTTCTTTCAATAAGGACTGGTTTTATATTTGCATCTGATTAATCGTGGGCCTCATTTATCTGAGAGTGGGCATCAAATTTTTTTTGGAGTAAAAAAAGCATTATTTATGAATAATTTTCACAACATTAAATAAAATATGAAAAAAAATGTGCACTGTTGATCACACTAGTCTACTTTAAAATTTCACCAGGAACTTTGTTTTGAAAAACTTTTATTTTGTTCATGTACACATATGTGCATGTGTGCTTGCAAACATCGAGCCCTTGGACCTGTGCATGTGTGGATACATGCATACACACGCTACCCAAACACACACATAAGCTATTTTTTATAGGCCAGTCATTTTTGACCGGGAACGTCAAAAGTGTTATAGGGTTTTGAAGACCACACAAGGGTTAAGAAGATTTTTATTCTTAATTTTATACCAGTGAAATTTTGTGACACCATATTTTAACTATGGTTTTCAGCAGGAATTTGGACTAATGAATGGGGAGGACTACTCAGCACGACAGAAATGGAAATCAAACATCGCTTTTATCACATCACACCTGGTTAGATCAGAGTATAACAAACCCCCTTTAAAGGGTCATGAAACCCTAAACCAAATTTTCTGAGATTTTAACAGAGGTATGTGTGTTGAACAACATTGAAGACAATGTTAGCATCTGTTAGATTTAATAGTAGGGCGAAAATGGTTAAATTTGAGTTTTTTCCAGCTATTTTCGTCTTCCGGGTTTAAAATCTTCATCTCAGGCTGTGACGTGGCAGTGCACAGTGTAGTGCGTTGATGACTCATCGGTCTCTCATAATTATTAATGAGACTGAGTTTTTATATCCTATGAGAAGACACGGTCTCTTAATTATTCAGGACACCACGTGGATCTTTCCACAGACATGTCAAACTGTGATATCGCGTAGTAAAGGAGAGAGACCATCATGGGACGCAAGTGCCGCAAACATTTTACCCGAGAGAGCTTCGAGAATTGGAGAATGGTGGACTTCGGCCTTGTCGATGACCAATGCAAGTTACGTCTTGCGAGTAATGCGGTACCAAGTCCTGAGGACTTTTCTATCCCTTCAGAGTGTGTGTCTAAAATGTAACCCTGGTCATTTTACTTGCCTTTTGTTAAATAAGCGGTCGTTATGAACATTTTAGATATTTCGATAATATATCAATTGTATGCTTAATGCGGGAGACTTGTGAATGTGTAGTGTTGACGTGCGGGCCGGGCGACACCGTGTTGTGTGTGTGTGTACGTGCAGGCAGGCGAGCCTGCGAAATGATTCGGGGTCAGAGAGAGAAGCGGTAGGATGTGTGTTTGGACGAACGACTGAAAACTCTGAGATTATTGTTCATTATTGATCGTACATTGTACAGAGGTCAAAATTATTGTACAAATACGATAATTATCGTACATCTGGCAACACTGCTGGCTGATGACAGTTCCCCCTCTCCCCTGCCGTGCCACACCCACTCCCTCCCTTCTTCTCACAGCCATCCACGCCCATTTAAGTTGCATTTTTCAAAAAGATTATGAGCTAGACTTGAGCTGATAGAGGGGGGTTTCATGACCCTTTAAAGAATGTATTTGTTGTGTGTGTATAAATGTATGTAGTATGCAACAGACCTGGGCTAGGGTCAGGATCTGGCCTGCCCTCTGTTCATCCAGGACTAGATTTTGCACATTAAGCAACTGAACCGGAGTGACTGTACCATCTGCCTGAAGAACATATTCCTGAAACAGAACACATATGAAATTAGACTGTTTAAAAGATAGTTCTTCAGTAAGAGTTTCTGATTAATCAATATTCATTTGAATGATCTTGATAATGATTATTTAAATGACAAGACAAATCTTTTATTCTCTGAGTATGTACCCACACAACTTGTTTGCTGAGCACCTCAAGAGCCTGACTGTGGCACTCACAGTGTAGACAGCTTCACTTATATTAATAATTGATTTCTCTATTAGACAGCAATATTGTCTTACTGACACTACAAGAGTTATTAGCTCGAATCTGATATTACAGATTTGTTTTGTTTATTTAGTCTGTCAATATTAGACATCTACACTACTTCTTAAGCATTGCTTTATTTTGCTGGTATCCACATTACTGCAAAGTTTGTTCATTTAAAATGCCCATTTTCATAAACTACCTAGTCAAATGGTTCATTAGCTGAGAGAGAATTTCTTTCATATACAAATGAAAATTACAGCTGGAGCATTCCCAAATGAACCATAATCTAATCAAATCAAAAGCTGAGCTAATCAGATCTGCATGGATACCCCGCTCTGTTTATCGGTGTGTGTGTGTGTGTGTGTGTGTGTGTGCTCACTGTGTCAGTGTTCAGGCTGCTGTGGGTGGTGCTTCTGCTGTGTGTCTGTCTGTGTGCCAACCACAGTTCAGGTGTCTCAAAGAGAGCCAGGCATTCCAGACACTGGTACTGGATTGGCACTTCTGCGTCGACAGAATCCACCTCTGTGACCTCACATAGCTCTGAAAAAAAAAAGCATTAAGGTGCTGATTACATGCACTTCCAAAGGAGACAATCTGACATGTACAGCACACATAATAAGCACCGCACTCACCCTGGCCTGCCTCTCTCATGTGCAGCTCTTGATGCAGCAGCAGTTCGTCAGGGTTCCTGAGGATGGCTCCACACTCCAGGCACTGATACTGGCTCTCTCCAGCGTCACAGTCCTCAAAGCTCGGCAGGATCTCCACCTCGTCCCCCTCTGCTCCGGTGTGGATCTGTTGGTGCACCAGCACCTCCTCCAGCGTATTAAAAAGCTGCTGGCACTCACTGCACATGTACTGATGCTCCACATACTCCTGCTCACTCATGGTAACTTCAGAACAGTTCTAAACCTGTTCAGATGCGAAGACTTTTGCTGGGGTTATGATGAGTCACAGCCACTGGGCTCAGTATATATTCTCATGCCAGATATGAATCTTAAGCCTAAAAACAACCTGAAACAAAAAAGAAAAAAAGAAAATCCAACTTATACAGATTTGTCAGAAGACTCCCCAGACAAATTGTTTATTGTCATTTATCGTTTAGGAGCAGATTTCCACAGGCCAATAATTATATAGTTATTACAGACATAATTCATATAATCATCGAGACATGGAACAAAACATGTCACACCACTTTATCTGTCATTTAGTTTAAAAAAAGGAACATTTCCACTTTGAGATGGTCGCTATAATGTTCTTAACACAACTGTACAATTTCATTTGATTTTCTCTTTATTTTTTCATTCAATACCAGACCATAACTCAGTAATCCATTTATATCAGTGTTTTTCAACCTAGTAGCAATATTAAGTTTAATATTTGAAGTCTGTCCTAAGCTGATATGTACCCCGCATACAAATCAGCCTAGGACGGGCTTCGAATTACTTAAAACGTGCAGCATTATTCAATGTGTTGACGTAATATTCACTGAAACAGGATGACAGGGCGGGACATATCCAACAGCTCCTCCCCTTTTTAAAAATAGCCAATAACGTTTAGTTTATAACATAGCTAGGCTAGAGCCGTTGAGCTCGGTAAAGCCGCAGTTTTCTCCTCATCTCTAACCGTTTCTCCTCCATGTCACTTTAAAATATAGCATTCTGTGCAGAATTCAAAGGGGTGTGTGTGATATGTTTTCTGGTCTGGTATCCGCTCTGTGCTATCGTCTCTGGACAGGAGCAGACTGTGTGCATGCTGCGACAGTTCGCATGACAATAACGTAAAACCAGACTTCATTTGTCTAAATGTAAAGCATACACTGTTCGAACCATGTAGAAAATAGTAATGTGTGAACAAGTGATGGATTTTAACCGCAGCTTCAGCATCTATTTATAATGTAGGGGGTTGGACGCTTTAGATTCTACAGAGCATTTGATTGGACAGAAAATCTTATGAGAAGCTGAAGTGCAGAGGGATGTCATCAAAATCATTTATCCACATTGGCGGAAGTGAGAGACGGTGGCTATGTCCGAAATCAAATACTCTCTCTTTAGGTACTTATTTTGAATCAGTAATTACTTCACAACCACTAAATAAGTATATTCTATATAGTATGAATGTGTGTAGTATAAATGTAATCTGGACATACTACATTCGCCATGTTGTTACCATCATGTGACCTACCAGCGTCAGTTACGTCACTTCACTGCCAATCCTCTCCTGTGGCCTCACAGGATAGTAAAGTGTCCATCGTATGCACACTTCAGAATCTCGCCGGAAAAAGTAGGTCATTCGGATACTTTTTGCCTGCTCTTTTATGAGTACTACTGTGAATTCAGACATACTTCTTTTGTCACATACTGTTTTGCGCCTACTGTATAGTAAGTATGCGATTTCGGCTGCAGCCTACGTTTTGAATGCTTAATATCTCCTAAATGTGAATTGTGTCATTGTTTTGGAGCACACTAGCTTATAGATAACAGTAACGCTAATATATTCATACCGAGAGCCAAAAAAACGTCAATTTTGATTTCATGGGGACTTTAATAGTACTACTAGGTCATGGGAAAAGAAGGTTAGTATCTTTATATCTCTTTTTTATACGGTTTCACAGCTGTGTCCCTACTTTTTGTCAACACTGTCAGATATTTATGAAAATATGTATTTAATATTTCATTGCATTTAATATAATATGCACGTCAAGTGGAATTATTATACTTTAACTTCATATTTTACCTAGTCCGTTCATGGCATATGGCAGTTGTGTAATATAAAGAGTACACAATTTGCTCTCCATCAATAAACGAGAAGACTATTACGGGTGCAGATATTGAAATCCAACTGATTGACAATACGCATTATTATCAATCAACTTCTATCTAGGCAGTAACGTTAATCATTTAGTGCACACAGACAACAGCATTTAGCAGGTTTCACACGAGTTGTTTACCTTGTGGCGAGCAGTTGGTGGCGCTCTTCAGATTTTGCCAGAGCTTATGCAGCGCACCGCTGTCTCCTGAGCGAGCCACCCCGCTGTACGGCGGTCGTCAGGCGGCGCTCTTCACTTTTCCCCGCAGGTCTAAGACCGCTGAGGGGAGGCCTTCTTTCCCCAAGCGTTTCCGAACCTCGCCTCGCACGCTGCAGATGGGCAATCCCTCGTGCAGCGCTCGTCTATACGGTGTTCACAATGCGTTTCTCACCGCGAGAAACCAGTATTATTCAGCGCGACGCACTGCCCGTTGACTATATATTAACGTAAACAAGATCGTGGGTATGGAAATGTACCGTTTGTCTGGCCTCTGTTCTTGCTCTGTGCTGCCCCGCCCCATGGGGGTTCGCGTGTGGCTTGTGCAAGGCGCTGATTGGATAGAAAAACTGCCTGTCAAACTCTAGCTGCCGTGATGGACAGTCTAGTGATTGAAGCATTTTTTGATGCTAGGGTATGTGAATGTGAGGCTGTATCATGATGTGAATCTTCTTCTTCTTCTTCTTCTTTGGGCTTATTGGCGGTTCGCATTCTTAAAAAGAGCTCATGATGTGAATGTCTCTAAACCACCAATAAATTCGTTAATAACGAAACATCTCAAAACACATCATGTCATGCTATGGGAAAACTCAGATAAAGAGGCCATTTACTGGAAGTGAAGTGAAAATAGTCACGCAAGTGATATGCATTGACATCAAAACATTTCCATTCTCATTCCCCAAATTATTAGGGGAAAAGCACTATTTGACTTTCATGCAAATTGACACTTTAGACTGTACTGTTTAGGGTTCTGTAATGCTGGTCTTTTCATTCGTAAATATTAATTTTTAAATGATTAATTTTTATTTTACTGCAATTTTAATACAAAAGGCATTTACTAATTTCGCATACAACTGTATTATTATATTTGGGGTTCATTGGCATGAAAGAATAATGAAAAGCTGCCCATTCTTGTGCTGCAGGATCTCTGCACGTGAGAGCGTTGTTGAACTTCACTACCCAGAAGACAATGCGTTCAGAGCGTCATTGTGCGTCAGCTCCAGTTCCCCAGCCAGCAACCACACAGAAGAAAGAGGAGGCGCACAACCTTACCGATAGAATAGTTCAGGGATCTTTATTTTTTAACGATTATTGTTGTTTAAATTGACATATACACTACGCGCCTGGGCCAGTCTACCGGCACTCTTTACCCCCGCTCTGGCACACACGAAACCCGATATGAGCGGCAGCGGGCGGCCCAGGACTAGCTCGTTTGCTGAGCCTCCGGGGGTCCCTGGAGCCGCTGCAGCCGCCGCCGGATCAGCCGTCGCCGGTGGAAGCTCTTCAGGAAAGACGGGGGGCGCGCAGGCCTCAGCCGGGAGTTCGTCTGGTTTCGGAAACCTAAAGCTGGGCAGTGAGTATCATTCAGTGACATCACACGACGATCACAATAAATGTGATGATGGTAGACTAATAAAAGCCGAAGTGCTAGTCAGTGTAGCATGATGTTCATTAATATGTTTGATTATTTTTGAATGATCGCGTTAACCTACTTTAGGCGGCTAACTGGCTAAGCTAATGTGAGCTTGTTTTTGTAGACGGATCAAGGGCTTTGATTGCGCTAACTATATTAGCTCGACAATCCTTCATCAGAACAAGGGCTAAACACCTCTGTTATGATCGATATAAGTGCATAATATTTTTGGCCCATTTCAGCCCCGTTTTAAAATGGGAATCGTGGTCTGTTGGACGTTAGACTTCGTTGTGTTCTTCAAGATGTGCTCGCTTGGCAACAAAGCTCAGTTAGCATGACATCTAACAGATTGTATCTTCAATTCTGCATTTAATTTAAATATTTTTTTATCATGTGCCACCCTGGATGCATTTAATCGCATCATAACTATCCGTAACATTATTCTTACCGTGAAATTATGTAAGTTAAGCATAGAGATGACTAAAGTGGTGTTTGCTTGTGCATAATAATTAAAAGGAAAAGATCAGAATCAATATTTACAACATATTATGAATGTAATGTTTAACGACTCCCTAATCACAATCTAATAGATCATTACAAAGCTTTGAATTTAAGCACACTGTCCTCCTATGAAGGACAATTACCATTTGTAAATTTGTGGTTGGGCTACTGTTAAAACTTGTGTTTTCCCTGGAGGCAAAAACCTCTTCATTTGGTGCTCTATAAATGATTCCCAGTGACTGCAGTGCTGGCAGCAGCGTTCATCTGCACTGGTGCTGACTGCTGGATTTCCATGGGAAGTGGTGATGGGTGTTATTACAAGGAATGAGGGGAGAACAAGTGGGTGGATGGATGTCCGACTAACCCATGGTCCTCTGAGAAACCTTGAACCAGTTGTTACAACACACAACAGCCATTGCTGTTTTTGTCTACATCTTTTTTTCAGCATAATAGCCAATTTTTTAATGGGCCTGCTGACATTTGCACTCACAACCTGAAACATTTTAGCCACATTTTTATCAGGAAAAAAGCAGTTGAGTTTCCTTTTACACGCATATTCCGTTACATATGTGTAATATATATTATTCTTTTTTTATTTGCAAATAGATGAGGTATATATACACAGTTCTGCTGAAATCAATGGCAAAAGCATCCTTCAGTGCAGCTTTTTTCACTGAAAGCCACTAAGTAGCATAAACATGACCACTCACTGAACACAAGACAGTTTCGTTGAATGGCCTAAATCTCTCTCTCTCTCTCTCTCTCTCTCTCTCTCTCTCTCTCTCTCTCTCTCTCTCTCTCTCTCTCTCTCTCTCTCTCTCTCTCTCTCACACACTCACACACACACATATCATGGGAGGTAATACTAGCGAGTATTTTAATGACAAGCTTTGGTTCTGACATTTCAGAATCATGACAGTACAGGTTCTATGTGATGATTTTGTGAGTGAATTATTATGTCACATGACTGGTTTAGCCATTTATTCTGTGAATGTTTCCCTCATAGTTAATGCTGATTAATCTGAATAAAAATCGATCCACTAAGCACCTAAAATGTAAAAGTTTTTGCACGGTTTGGGAATTTTATTTGTTTTAGTGTTTCCATATAGCTTTTTTTATGCAACATCCAAACTTTTTCATTAAATCTTGTTTATGTGATGGCCATATTACCTGGCCACTAACTCACGGTATCCCGTATCCAACTTGAAGCAGTGTTATTCTGATGGGAAAAAAAACCCTCAATAGCAGCAACCGGTCTCCAAGCACGACAACATCTGTCTGCTCTGCTTTGATCCAGCAAATAATAATTTTGCCTTATAATGAAACAAAGCATTTGTTTTGGTGAATCTGTCATTCCTTTTCTAAATCTAAACGGACAAAACATCACCCTATGGCTTTGTTTGTCTCCAGGCATCCCCATTATCCTGGTCTGCTCTTGTCCACAGGTGGAAATGTGGTCAGATTTTAGCTTTCTCATCCTCCACCCGTGTTCAAACAGACTTAAGGGTGTTTCTGCTATTTCTAGTGATAAGCTCTGCTCGTTGTTCTGTTGTGTTTGGACACGCTTCTTAACATGGGTGTTGGATTACTATTAACACCTGTCAGACAGAGTGGCAAAAAGGCATAGCCTGCTGGATAAGAGAGCACCGATGAGTTTAAAAGTTTGTTTGACACAGCCTCAATATTTTCATGCGTTTAATGGCCTCTCAGGCATGCCTGAGTAGTTTCAAGGAATAGTTCACCTTTTCCCCACCTTCGTGTCAATCCAAACATGACTTTCTTACATGGAACACAAGAGAAATCGAGGAATGTGCTGATCACCAATTCCTATAATTATAATAAATGGGCACTGGTCATTTCAGGCTTCAAAAAGCATGTAAAGCACAATAACCGAATCATAAATACCACCTGTCTTTTCAAATCACCTACTGATTAGAAGTATTACTAATGTTTTTTCTAAGTTGAAATTACATGGTAGCTTCATAATTAATACTGTCAGCCATTTTACTGTGTTTTTACCATGAGGAGCTTGTCTACCACAAATCCTGCCGCATATAATGACTACACGGACATCACACAATTCTCATAGAACGCAAATTACATTTTACACATATTTATTGTGCCAAGTAAAAATTTCCATTTTCTGGTAGTCTTAGCCAAAATGCTGCATAATCATCCCAGAGAAATTACATTATTTTCCAAGCGGAGTAATGAATAATGCAAAAAAATTTGAATGAATGCTACATTATTGTTCATATAGGCCTGGTTTCACAGACATGGCTTAGATTAAGCCAAGATTATACCATAGGTGGCCGACCCCTGATAAAGCATTTAATTCAGGTTGTACATGCTAACACAGGCTCGCATGGTGTCAATCTTCATTGTGATTCAATTGATATATGTCAGTCAGTGACCATTTGTTTTTGTTTTTTAACTCATTTTGTTGTCTTTAGGGGATAGTGGGAAAGTGACAACGGTAGTAGCCACACCAGGGCAGGGTCCCGACCGTCCTCAGGAGGTTTCGTACACAGACATCAAGGTGATCGGGAATGGTTCGTTTGGAGTGGTGTACCAGGCTCGACTCATCGACAGCCAGGAGATGGTGGCCATAAAGAAGGTGCTTCAGGATAAACGGTTTAAGGTAAGTATGAGAAAACCTGCATATGTGCAAACTAATGTCAGTATCATAATAAAAACACCCTGAAATATATCAAATCTGCATGCACACACAAGACAAAATGCTGCTTTCCAAGTCCAAAATGAAAGGTTTTTACTTTAAATGCTACATGCCTTTTAAATCAGGCTGCTACAAGCACGTTGTAATTATTTTGACATGTTGCGATTTGAACTGTAAAATAAATGTTTAATATCTCGTGTTGCTTTTGCTTAGATTTCAAAGCTAAAAGAACAAAAAGGCTTAAGATCGCATCGAAACTCCCCCTTTCATGTTCAACAGCTTGTTCATAAAATACAAAGTAGCAAGCAATGCCTTATGACTCCAAAGTTAGTTGTTTTGTCCAGGCTCTGCTGCCTTGAGGAAGTGTTGCTCTTTACATTTGTAGAAGACCTGAACCTCTTTCAAATAGACCCCAAAGTGAAGGGAAAAAAATGTTTTCTTTCCATCAACATTGTACCTGGGCTTAAAAAGTTTTTTTTTTTATCCTCTTTGGTTGTAATAGGGTATGAGTCCATATTGTTTTTCTACTTAAATATTAAGTAATAATTACAATTCTTAAATTGTAATGTTATAATTATTCAATATTAGAGTTGTATTGGAATATACAATTAGAAATGTAGTGTAATATCTTGCAGGCATAATGTAGTTGACAGCTGTTTTTTTAAAATCTCATTCTGTCTGCAAAACTTGATTTTCTGCCTCTTTTACATT